CTGTGTGTGCTTAAAAGATTGATCGACATATTAGCAAATCTTACTACAGATTTGTAAATCTGAATACAGATTTGTGGATTTTTTTTACACATTTACAAATCTTAGTACATAATTGGGAGGGTAAAATATTAGTAAGCTGTTTAGCAATATTGTATGTTACATACATGACATATATATGTTATGGGATATGGCAAAAACACACCTGATAATGGAATATGTTTCAGAATTTCCAGCTAAAGTTACGGGGAAACTACAATGTTTGCTCACAGGTCTTTAAACAACGTCTATTGACAGTTTCTAATAGTAATCATGTTATGCTTCTTTTTCAGTGTAACCAGAGACAAAGGCTGCTGACTAGAGCTTTAGCTTAACTCCAATTATGTGCAAAGTGAACATCATTACCAGCTTGCTGCTTACATTTTAAACTGCCAGACAGGGGAAATATAAGAGTATCTGGACTTTCATCAACCAGAGGTGAGGTTTAAGTTCTAATAGAAATACCATGAGAGCTAAAAACCCTGGAAATAAAAGCCACCGGCTTGTCTGTCTCCTCCCACCATCTGTGACTTTTATCAGCTTTAATCACTTCCTCTTGGTACGGGCTTTGTGTTTCAATTATGAGTGTCAGAGTAAGAGTGGACAACAGATGAGAGGAGAAAAAACATCGCCACAGAAGTAATCCACTTTTTTTCCTAAAAACTTAGCAATTCTGGCATCTTTTTCCAGTCAGACTGCTTTCCTGTAGCCCAACTGGCCGAGCTCAGCTCCCAGTAATTGCCGACCCTACCATCTGTGCTGCATGGAAAATGCTGATAATATTAGCAGAGCGCTGCGTTCATCTTGAGCCACAGTCAGACTACTCTTTCAAATACAAATGCCAGACTGAAATATAAGAGTCAGAAGCTTTGTTCACCTAGGAGTAAATCAAAAAAGCATCATAAAAGTGATTAGATGTGCTGCGCCATATTTCCACCACAGGACTAAGCAACCTTTTCCACTAATATAAAAAGTCACACCGAGGGAGAGGTTGTCTAAAACAGCTGTGACGGATAATCCTGCTGCCCAACATGCTGTGATTAGAGAGGCAGATGTGAAAAGATCAACTCAACACACAGAAACTTGTCTCTGCTTTTAATCAAACTACCCTGAAACTAAATAAAATAAAGAAACAGCAAAAATAGAATTGAGTGAGGAGGCGAGTTCATTACCCTTTATATTACCCTTTATAGCACAGCAGCTGAGTCAATATGAGATACACAGAGCTAAACTTCCAAAGATCTTTGGGACGTCAAAAAAATCATGGCTGTTAAAAGTTGCACTTGAGAAATGTTGTATATTGCATATATAGGCTACATGTATATACATGAGTCACGACGAAAGTATAATAAACATCTTGTGTTATGCTATGCAATACTATATTGGCAGCCATGCTGAACATTTCCAGGAGCTCTGGGTCAATATGGAGGTGATTTCGCTCCATTATAGTTGATAACAAGAAAATGTTTTGTGAATGGAAAACAAAATAAAATACTTTCATTAAATTTAAATATTAAAACGACAATTCATTAATGAAACTTTGAAAAATGTTTTAATTTAAAAACATTCTATAAAAAACTGTCATTTTCTCATATATGCTCTTTTTCAAATTTCTATTTTTCCATGCATTTTTTTTACAGATTTTATGTTTTCACTTTTTACAAAGTTTGGTTTTTCACTTTTTTTTTGTTTTTTTACAAATCCCATTCTCTTCACTTCTGCCTGTTTGCTCCTCTGGAGTGAGAAGCAAACACGCAGTTACATCAGACTGCTGGATGTTGGGAACGCATTTTATTGATTAAAGTGACACACATTTTTTTCATCCTTCATCCAAAAAATGAAGATAAAGGAAAAGTCCGACCAGCAAGGAATAATCATTCCTTGCTGGCCATCATTCATTCGCTGTGATTTAATGAATTTATCTAGCCTGACGTAGTCCTACTCAATTCTAGTCAGAATATGAGTCTGATACTGCTCCATAGAGCTGTGATTATGGGGCGTGTTTCAAACGAACCAGGAAAAAAAATGCCTCTGCACTCAATTGGACAGACCTACAACCAATAAGAGCAACGGAGTGTGTGACGTATGTTAAGCCAGGCACAGTTGTTGTCAACAAAAATCAAAGCGTGCAGTTGCACGCCTATAATAAGAAGATGAGCCTTGATCGCGTTTCTCTGTTCCTCTTTTAAAATTAATTTGCTGTCAATATCTTCTAGAACAGACCTAATAGCAGAATCTACACACCTCAACTCTCCATTGTTGTCGTCGCCCATGCGCGCTTTGGTCACGTGGTTGGTCATGTTACTGTTGATCATCTGTCCATCATCGTATAAAGCCCGCCCTGACAATTTGATTGGCCCGCCAGATATTGTGCGAGCATACTCGCGCTACTACTGAGCAATGCCGGACCGAACTTCCGACCTCAAACGTTGTGGGCGGGACTAAGTTCGGAATGGCACCCAGGCTAGAATTTATCCTTAATCAGTACAAAAATAAAAACAATCATTTTTGTCGAGATCACTGAGTAACACCTCACTCCTACTATCTTCCAGCAGTGACGTCACGGTACGGTAAGCCTAGCGCCATTCTCCCCGCTTTACAAGCAAAAGGGGGTGGACTCAGGTCTCAGCTTTCAAAAACCTACAGTTCAGCGATTGAGTTGATTGCTTCCTGCTATGCTCACAACCCCAATCAACAACAATTATTGAAGATTTCCAGAGGACTTCACCATTGAAATTTACCAGAGCTATAGTGAAACTGACAATGCCCACGTGCATGGCAGCTGGAAGGTGGAATACACCGGGTAAAAGTGAAACAAAATTAGTTATTTCACCTTTCTGATTCCTGATCCTCCACCGACGGATTTGTCGTTGGATTGCCAACTTGAAGAGGAAGGATTTTATATCAAACTTCTGGCCAGAGAAAAAAACACACATGTAGCCAACATTTGGAAGAAGAATGTTTTCAAGATGACTTGGATAATAGCGCGTTGTGACAAAAACCAGATACAGCACTGGGACTTGATCAACAGCCGATACCGCACCGTGACGTCACAAACCAGTAGGTGGCAGTAGTGTTCTTTGACAAACATGGATGCCTCCAGTAAAGCACATTCAAATGAAAATTCCTCTTACTTAAAAACACTTATCATTTATTGAACAGTATGGAATAATTTGTTATTTAAAGTACTTTCAGAAGTTTGAATACCAAATATGACCGGGCTTTTCCTTTAATAAATGAGACGCATATCCCTAAACTTCTAGACTTATGCCAAAGTCTTAGGATCCATAATTAACCCGGCGGAGGGGGGGACATTGATTGTTACATTGATTGACTCTATTGATCTCACAATGGAGAAATTCACTTTAAGATCATTAAAATCAATCAATGTACTTACTTTCTTGTAATACGGGCTCATTTTGGAGCACTAAACCTTAAAGGAATAGTACACCCAAAACATGATTAGCCTTCATTTTCTACTCACCCCCATGCTGAACAACACTCTGGAGTACTTTTTTGATATCTCAAATGCATCTGGAGATCTGGGAGGCTTCTTGCTGTCTGCTGACATTCAAATAATGGAGGTCTATGGCGCCCGAGACAGAAAGGTCCATAAAAGTCCACAAAAAACGTGTCAATATTCCTCCATACTGCTCGTCCAATGTATTCCAAGTGTCCTGAGTGGGTAGCATCCAGAATTTACTCGAAACGAAGTCATTTAGAATGTTTTTAGAGCATAAACAGTAGTGTATAGGATTTCCTGAAAGCGCGTCCCTGCGCGTTCAGGACGCTACGGAAGCCGGCAGACCAAACCAGATGAAAGTGCGCATTCAGCGTCTGCTCTGCCGATAATGCAAGCGTAGAAGAAGAAATGTGCTGTTTACCTGTGCAAAGAAAGAAACAACGAAAGGAAAACGTCTGAGGACTTCAGTGTTGAGGAAGAGCATGAGTTCTTTGCCGAGCTGATTGAGCACTTTCATCTGGTTTGGTCTGCCGCGGTTTCCGTAGACTCGTGAACGCTCTTTCAGGCAATCCTATACACTACTGTTTATGCTCTAAAAACATTCTAAATGACTTTGTTTCGAGTAAATTCTGGATGCTACCCACTCAGGACACTTGGAATACATTGGACGAGCAGTATGGAGGAATATTGACACGTTTTTTGTGGACTTTTATGGACCTTTCTGCCTCGGGCGCCATAGACCTCCATTATTTGAATGTCAGCAGACAGCCAGAAGGCTCCCAGATCTCCAGATGCATTTGAGATATCAAAAAAGTACTCCAGAGTGTTGTTCAGCATGGGGGTGAGTAGAAAATGAAGGCTAATCATGTTTTGGGTGTACTATTCCTTTAAGAGGGGAAAATTGAAGATTTTAATTATGTTTTTAATTATGAAAATACTTTATTGGACTAAATGTTTTTGTTTCATCTATATGTTTAAAGGGACAATGTTTAACAAACGTTGCTTTTTATTAGCAAAAAATCAAGCACTGCTTTTATAAATACATATTGTTTGAAAGTCTAATGACTTCAAAAATGAAAACGTTCTCTCAGAATTAGTACCCAGCATTTCATCGCCATTTTAGATCACAGCAGCAGAATGGGGGCAAACTTCTCCCCCTTACAAATTTTACTAGTAACTAAATACATCTGGTCATCAGAGGAGGAATTTAATACAAACAACACCAACCATAGGAAGGACCATCCATACTCTTTGTCCAGTGAGAGGCAAGAGACAAACCAGAAAGAAGTGATAACTAAGAGAAAACAAAGAATGAAACTCCCTGTTTTTACTCCTCAACACAACCCCTGGAGCAAAGGTTGAACAGGTCAGTCAAAGCACATTAGATCTAGTATAGAAAAATGAGGCCACAACAAAACTCTTTACAAACAAAACAAAGGCCATAAACAGTAGAGGAGAACATGATGCTATGAATGCTACGGTTTTCTAGAAAAATCCTTACCTCCACCAGTTTGACAATGTTGACATGGTCCAGCTTTTTCAGAATGGCAATCTCTTGGTAAACTCTTTCCAAGGGTCCTAAGACTTTAGGTTGCTCTCCTTGGGCTGCCCTGGGTCCTCTGGGGGGAGGGCGACCTGCAGAACACCACCAAATCCAGATTATACCATAATGTATCTAATCTGATTGATTTATAACTAAATACATGAGGGTTGGATATTTTGTTTAGTTTCTAGCACCTAATCAGAGGAAAGTGAAGGACTGTATATACAATAGACTGGAGCTTAATAGCATTAATGATATGGCTCTGATAATAAAAGAGCCTCGCCAATAATAGGCAGATTAATCAGTGAAGTTCTAATTAATAATGATATAACCAATAGAATCCCCTCTGGAACTTATTTTAGCTATCTGTAACAGACTTTCTAAAGTTGAACAATGAAGCTGGATATCTATGGAAGTAAATCTGTGTCGCTGGGATTTTAATTAAAAATGCCACTGAAAGTTAAATGTTGTATGTTTGTACTTACTGTTTCAGTGTTAAAATATATTCAGAACACATTTTTGACCTAAAAAAAATAATTGTCATTATTTCTACACAGCTGAAATTTCATTTGTTATTTTCTCTTCAAGCTAAAAATTCACATTACTATTTCAAAGTGATTACTTATTTTTCAGTTAAATTTTTCAGTAAAAAAAAAAATCTGCATATAAGAAAAATTCAACCTTTCAAAACTCAAACTCAATATTTTCAGCCTCCTGAGATTCAACTGGCTCTATTTCACTGTCTTAAATTCGGCATCTAAATTCAATGTAAAAAGGGAAGGGTTACTTCAGGTCACAGACATTAGCAATGGATTGTGGTCTCCAACACCCAGTCAATCCCGTTACGTTTTCTTAGTGACGTGACATGAAGCTTGTGGCACGTGATGTGACGCTTGTGGTGCCTTCATACGGAAGGAAAAATGTGTTCTGAATATATTTTAACACTGACACAGTAAGTACAAAAAAACAACATAAAAATTTCAGTGGCATTTTTAATTCAAATCCCAGCGACACAAATTTACTTCCATAGATATCCAATTAACTAAATGCGATTTCACCTAAGCCTTACGGGTCCTGTTATTGACATATAAAAAAATACAGTCATAAAAAAAACTATGCCTTTATAACCTTTATAACCAAACCTTATAAAGTTGAGTAACACTGATGAATACGGATAGGAATCGAAAACCTGTTCCTGTTCAGAACCAGTTCTGTGTGTTCCAATTCCATGGCACCGTTTGGCAGCTCACTTAACGATTCTCTTAACGATTCCAGGCAGCACCAAAGCAAGACTTACGTCATGGTTCTTTAAGCAAGAACGACGTGACCAGGAGTAAGTCTAGATAAGCAAAACAAAAAAAATGGCGTCCCATCGGCTAAACCTATCGAAAGTTTGGATGTAAAGTGGCAATTACATCCGCAGGAGGAAATACATCCAACGTGCAGAAACACCTGGACACACAACATGGCATACATTTTAACGAATGCTGTGTTTTTGATGCTTCCGGACAGAAGCTAAAGTTACGACCATGGAAGGCAACTCTGGTGGTAAGTACCTAGTTTTATATCACTGGCTGTGCTTAATGTGGTTCCTAGTAAACCATATGCCATTTCTGGAAATAAACCCATTTCCTACCTCTCTGTGGGGTTATTAAACATGCTACAAAGTTGATCCGCAGTTCAGAGAGCGAGAGAAAGGTGATGCTCGTTTATATAAATCAGGGGGAGATGAGTTTATTTCCCGACATTGTACAGTAATGCTTTTTCATTAAACGGATGCCTTCTCCATTAGATTTAGATGACTGTGACGAGATGGGTAGCCTGGTTGGCTCAGAGGCTGGCAGCTCCTGTTTACTGCCTTCTGTTTTCGCTGAGGCAGGCAGAAATAGAATCTCCCAGGCGAAGGTAGACGAATGTCACCGTGCATTTACCAAGTTCATTGTTTCACAGAATCTATAAGAGAATCAATAAGGAATTGAATCGTTTCACAGAATCAATAAGGGAATAGGAATCATGAAAATCTTATCAATTCCCAGCCCTAATGATGCATTTCGGGAACAATATTTGTCATTTTGTAATTTTTTTTGTTTGTCCTTTTTGTCTCTTTTGCATGTTTTGCAGCTAGAATTCCCCGTAAAGGTTTGGACTTTACGGGGAAACCAGTTGGGTATTTGTTTGCACATGACAGATCAGCTGCGTAGGATGAAGCATCGTCGTACAGTGGGGGAAATAAGTATTTGACTCCTTGCTGATTTTGCAGGTTTGCCCACTTACAAAGAATGCAACGATCTATTAATTTAATCATTTGTACATTGTAACATTGAGCGACAGAATCCCAAATAAAATTCCAGAAATTCACATCATATGAATTTATAAAAATTGATAACCATCTGATGAGGAAAAACAAGTATATGACCCCCTACCAAACAGCAAGTATTCTGGCTCCTACAAGCCAGTTAGTCTTTCTTTAAGACACAGCCCCAATCCCAACCAATTATCTACATCAAATACACCTGCCTCACCTCGTTACCTGTATAAAAGACACCTGTCAACACCCAAACAACCAGCATCCAACATCATCACCATGGGCAAGATCAGGACATCGGGGACAAGATTGTTGATCTGCACAAGGCTGGGATGGGCTACAAGAGAATTTTAAAGCAACTTGGAGAGACAAGTTCAACTGTCGGTGCAGTTATCAGGAAATGGAAGAAGCACCACACCACCGCCAACCTCCCTTGGTCTGGGCCTCCACACAAGATCTCGCCTCGTGGGGTGTCCCTGATCATGCGAATGCTGAGGAATCATCCCAAAACCACAAGGGGGGAACTGATGAATCAACTGAAGGCAGCTGGGACCACAGTTACAAAAGAAACGGTTGGTAACACAGTACGCCGTCATGGATTGAAATCCTGCAGCGCACGCAAGGCCCCCCTGCTTAAGAGGAAACATGTACAGGCCCCCATGAAGTTCGCCATTCACCACCTGGACGACGCAGGAGAGGCCTGGAAGAAGGTGATGTGGTCAGATGAGGCCCAAATACAACTTTTTGGCCTCAACTCAACTCATCGTGTTTGGAGGGCAAAGAACACCGAGTACAACCCAAAGAACAACATCCCCACCGTCAAGCGTGGTGGTGGCAACATCATGCTTTGGGGGTGCTTTTCAGCCAAGGGGACGGGACAACTCCGTCGTATTGAGGGGAGGATGGACGGGGCCATTTATCGTGGAATTCTGGACCAACATCTCCTTCCCTCAATGAGAGAGCTGAAGATGGGTCGAGGATGGGTGTTTCAGCATGACAACAACCCTAAGCACACCGCCAAAGCAACAAAAGAGTGGCTGAAGAAGAAGCACATCAAGGTTCTGGAGTGGCCTAGCCAGTCTCCAGACATGAATCCAATTGAAAATCTTTGGAGGGAGCTTAAAAGTTGAGTTCCGTAAAAAAAAAAAAAAAAAAAAGGATTAGGACCTGGATGACTGAGAACCTTCATCAGCATAAAAGTTGAGTTGCCAGGTGACAACCTCGGAACCTGAATGATTTGGAGACTGTCTGCAGGGAGGAGTGGGCCAACATCCCTGCCGAAATGTGCACAAACCTTGTCACCAACTATAAAAACCGTTTGATATCTGTGCTGGCCAATAATGGCTTTTCTACAAAATATTAACATGCTGTTTGTCCAGGGGGTCAAATACTTGTTTTTCCTCATCAGATGGTTATCAATTTTAATAAATTCATATGATGTGATTTTCTGGAATTTTCTTTGGGATTCTGTCTCTCACTGTTAGAATGTACATATGATTAAAATTATAGATCGTTGCATTCTTTGTAAGTGGGGAAACCTGCAAAATCCGCAAGGGGTAAAATATTTATTTCCCCCACTATACTTGTTTTTCCCTCAAACTGTTGTCATAATTAGAGCTTTTATCCTCAGCCAACGTATAACCAAGATTCAGTAACAATTTATGGATTTCCATACCTGATTACTGCTGCCAGATTCTTGCAGGTTTTCCTATAAAATATACTTCAATTTATAGAAATTTAGCAGCCAGGATGATTGCATTCAGGACTGCAGTCTCTTCATATGGGTCATGCATTCTACATTTTGCCTTTTCTTTCTTTAATTCTGCATTTACATCTCAGGCCATTTCTTCATTTTTTTGTCTTAAAAGCTTCTGGTTTGTGTTTGTTCGACACTTTAGACCCAGTAGAGCAGAAACAATGATTTGGATGATTTATATTGTTGTAGAAGTTTCATAATCCATTTATGGCTCTTTTGTTCACCATCAGTCACCCAGCTGGATCAGCTCATTAAGGTCTAAAAAACTTTCTCTTAAACTTCAGACCCAGGCAGAATTGCGCAGGCTGCTTATAAATCTAAGCTAATGGATAGTTTTATAATTCTACCTTCACATTAACAGCTGCTGTAGTGCCTTGGAAAAGGAAGAACTTAAGCTTAAGTTATAACATGAAAGCCACAGTTAAGTGGATTTCAATTGGATGTAATGTGGCACAGTGGAAGAAATGATAGAAAGACATCTTTAACAATAGGCACCCGGCACCCATCCCCCCCACCCCCCCAACCCCATTCTGATTCTCCAGTATAGACAATAGGTTTTTAAGCTCATTTTCTGTCCAGATGGGATTTCAATTTTCCAGCATGGGGAGGGTGGATTGGTGCAGTTTGCAGCATCTTTCTGTAGGAATAACTTCCCGAAGCTGAAAAAGGGAGGCTGTTTAGACAAACTGGATGGAAAGAAAAGGGGTAACTGTGGCAGAAAAATCTGTTTCAGCCTTAAAATCCTAAACAGGTACTCAGAGCTAAATTAATACATATAAAATCAAAACTTTATCTAGTTCGCAAAGAATAAGGAAATAATATAGACAAGCAACTGAGTTAGCAAATCACCAGACAGCCATGACTCCTCATCCAGTTCTCCTCCATATTTCCTTGTAAACAGCAACAAAAACATGGTAATCTGGTGCCATGCCAATGGGTGGATCAACTGACAATGAAGCAAGGATGGCATCTGATTGGATGTGGCAGCAAAGAGTAAGATAGACGGCTGCAGTGATCATCTGGTAACCAACTACAACTAGCAGAATTAGCATTAGCCATCACTTCTAAAACAGCTAGTTGTTATCAAATTAATGTTGTGAAGAGTTTTTCCATTCAGACTGAAGAGGAAATTGTCTCTGAAGCTAATCTGAAGCAGTTGGAAAGCTCCATCTTTTGACAGGCATGCATGGTTTGCTCCAGCTCAGCGTATTATAAGCCTGGTGGGCCGTCAAGCGTTACTTTTTTCATTGGGGTCATTTCCCCTAAAAGTTGAGTTATCTTTTCTATCAAGAGGATCTTTCATAACAAAAGGACTATATTTTTACAGCCTGCATAATGTAAATAAGAATTGTGCTTTTCTCACACTTTCATAAATGTACACATCTTTATAAAATATAACCATATATAGAGATGTGAAACAATCATTTAAAGACATTTAAAGAAAGCTATGTCACTCCAAAATGCTGTCAGACCTCACCACTTGTATCAGTGAAGTGGCCGGAAGTGTAAGTTACAATCTAGTAAACAGCAGACAATAATGTGAGCTAAGTTGCCTTTTGTATCTCTGCTTCTGTCTCCTTGAACCCCAGTCAGCCTCGGCAGATGGCCGCTCACACTGATCCTGGTTCTGATGGATGTTTCTTCCTGTTAAAAGCAAGTTTTTCTTCTCCACTGTCACTACAAGCATGTACAAGCACACTCACACCTAAAGGGAATTTAAAGAAGCTAATCAACCTAACAGTCATGTTTTAGGACTGTGGGAGGAAGCCGGAGTACCTGGAGGGGACCAACGCATGCTCAGGGAGAACATGCAAACTCCATGCAGAAAGAACCTGGGCCGGGAATCACACCCAGAAGCTTCTTGCTGCAAGGCAGCATACTACCCACTGCCACATAGCAGCCTGTTTCAGATCTATTTTATTTTACTTTTTTGCCAAAAGGTTTACAGCTACCTTAGCATTTCTAAATGGACACAATCTCATATTGCATAAAGAAATGTAAAGAGACTCACGTGGGAAACCACACTGCTTCATCAACCTCTTCTTGGACAAAACCTTCATGGCCTAGGGCAGAAAAAAACAGAGATCAGACAGCATCAGCACACACCAGGAAAGCATTTTAAATGACATCTCTGAAAAGACAGCAATGATTTGTTAAAAGTTATGCAGAAAAAAGTAGGTTTTAATGAGATTAAATTCAATTTAAAATGTGGAAGTCCTCTGATGTTTGTTTGTGCTGAAGTTCAGCTAAAATCGAAGTGCAAAGCATATACATTTCAGAGATATTTCTGTTATTTTGCTTTGCATGAGTCCAAAGGAGTCATGAGCCACTAAAAATTTTATGCCAAACAAGACTAACAAACAGCCTTTAGTGAGAGTTTTTCATAAAGGCACGAAAACTCTGAAAATAACAGATAAGTATTGTCATATAAAAGAAAAGGCTTCAAGTATAAGGATTTGCTCGACCATTGGCTATGCGGCCGTATTGACTGTGATTTTGTGGTTTGTTAACCCATCAGAAAGGAGGAACTTGTTGCATTAGGATAAAACAAGCTGTGCTGCTGAAGTGTGGCTCAGTGGTCTCTGTGGTTGTCATGACTATGACTGTGCAGAAAGGAGCTTTGGCTGGAAGGCGGATCCTCGCCTCTACATAGTTTCCATGGTGTGCCGCCTGCGTTCCTCAGAAAATGGACTTTTATAAATAAACAGTGTCCGTTTCGAATCTGAATCAATGTCTGCAGCCAGATGGGAAGGAAAAATGTGAAAAACCCAGCGTTTTTCAAGAGCCCATCAATCATTTAGGCCAATAAAACATGATGAAACATGATCTATCTGTAGCTGAACTGCAAACGAGGAGTAAGGAGGAAACGTCAAGGATGTTTTGCTTCAATCAAAACCAACAAGCAGCAGAATATGCATGAAGGGTCCAGCATGATTATCATTGTCATTGCCTCATTAAGCATAAGATGTCCTCATCAATCACGTCGACTAGATTAGGCTAGAGTAATAGAAGAAGAAAGGTACGAACCTTTGTTGAGCTAGACTGAACTAGCATTGGCTAAATGAGCTGTGGTAATTAATAAAGGCGGTTATTACAGAAGCCTCACTCTAGCATGACATTATTAATTCTGTGAAAATGAAAGTAATCAGCCATTTACACGGTGGGATTTCTGTGGAAAGGTAACTGCATTTACACTGTAGCACCAGTCTTAGCTAGTGGATAAAAGCAGCTGAAAATTAAATTTTTCAACAAACTTTAGCTTTCAGAACTAGTTCAATGAGGCCTAATGGATGTGATGAATGCAAGAAAATTTCTGTTTTTGCTTCATCTGGTCATGGACCTCCGCAGATGTTCAGATTTCTTATGACCTGTTATTTTGCTGAAACATAAGTTAGTATCAAAGCCTGAAACTGACTAAATCAGAAATTTACAAACATCTAAAAAATAAACATGCTGAAACATGCATTTAATTTATTCTTTAATGTTTTGCAGCTAATGAAAGGCATTATTTTATTCTACAGATGAGATTTCCTGAAGAGATGCTGGTTCATTAATGACAGCATATGTGGATCCTGGGTTCGTACCTCTAATCCTCGTTAGTTCTGCTAGATCGAGGGAACATCATAGCGTAAATATTTTGCCTGTGATAAGAACATTATTCAGGAATAACTAAAAAAGCTTCAAAAATGAAGCTGAAGTCATAAGGAGAAAAAAAAACAACAGGAAAGTTCATGCCACAGCAATCAGCAGTCTGGGGCCTCCAATTTAACCGATCTGATGTCTGATAAGGATAAGTAAAGTAATCATGTTTCAAGGATAAATCAATTTATGAAGCAAACAACAGACGAACAGCTCTGCTGGCTAATTCTTTCTTGAATGTTAATAAAGTTAATAAATCTAAAATAACAGCAGCTTCAAACCTGGACCTGGATTATTCAAAGATAATGAAGATGATTAACTACTTCAGGAACTCAAGAGGCATTTTTTCCACGAGTTGCTGTAGGTGTTGATGCTGCAGGCAGAAGCATCTTCTGTAGCGGTCTGTCTAGCACCGGATCTAAAGAATAACCCCCAGATTCCACATACTCCGTCAGCGCTCCGCTCCGCTCCGCCCCGCTGACGTACGTCGTGCGGAGCGCTTGTCTTTCATGGAAATCAATAAGAGCTGTTCCACATCCACCGCTACTCCTCCGCACGTCTCCGTCCACGTACGTCTTCTCTATGGAGAGATATTTGTGCCATCGGTTTGAGCGCGCAGGAACCAATCCGAGCGCGCAGTGAGACAACACGCGCACGCGCAAAGCCGGTCTGGCGCGCGCTCAACTCTGTAAAACCCTCTCAACACACACTGTTCTCGCGCTCAGTTTCATCTCTGCGCGTGCTCGAATCCGTCTCTGCTCGCGCTCGACCTGCTCTCTCTCCGCGCTCAACACCAGCTGTGCGCTCGGCTGTTTCTCCGCTCGCTCGACTCTCTGCGCTCGCAACTTCAGCAATGTATGTAAATGAACCATACCATCAGCCAATCACACCCAGCTTCTTTTCATCCAATGAAAGCATTCCTTCCTTCTTCTTCTTCTTTTTTATCATGGCGGATCGCAAGCAACTTTAAGGTGCATACCGCCACCTACTGTTCATGATTGTGTAGCAACATTGTTTTACATCTATTAAATTCTATTTTTTAATTTTGTATTCTGAAGATAACTAATTAATGCTTTCCTTAATCTATAAATATCCTTTATATTTCCTTTATTTCCCAATAATCCTTTAAGACTCCATTCTTGGCCTGTCCTTTCAACTACTCTTCTCAATTTTTCCCTTTCAGGTTCATATGTTTTACAGTTCATTAATACGTAAGCATTCGTTCCAAATACTACACCGGGTTAAATGAAAAAATAAAAATAAAAACACAATCAGGAAAATCAAACAACTCTTACAGTTATTTTGTCAACATTCCTAAGATAGTACTATAAAATATCTTGAATTATCTCAAATAAACTTCAGTAAAACAGTTATTAGATCATTGCCTCATCCATCTCTTTTACCTGCTATTGACATGGATTTAAATTTGCTGTTTTAAAAGAAAAATAAGGAGGATATTTCAGGGTCAAGTATGGTTCAACAGTATATAGATAATGTTTTGGATCATATTGGCCTTACTCTTAGCTTTTGTGGCGGGTGTTTCTTCTTTTTGTTGTTTTTTATGGAGGTTGGCAAACAACAATTACCGCCACCAACTGAAAAACCCTGTTTATCAAATTATTCTTTTTAATATATATAATAAAGAATAACCCTCTTATTTAGAGTCCATCTGTAAAAGGTCTTCTAAATAATAATTGTTAAATTTCAGATCAGGTCTGCTGTCTGAATAATTGTGTTTAAATTAATATAACGGTTGCTGATCTAAAATCAGAGCAAACTAAACTTCTTAATGGAACGATTTCTTCAATCCATTGTAAGGCCAATATGATCCAAAACATTTCTCCTTTGTAGGCTGAATTCCATCACTGATTCTTTTACCCGATTTAAAAATAAATTCTGGAACTAAAACAAAACACCATTCCTAATATTGGAATATTTTGAAGCATCCATAAAAAATTTAACATATCCATAATATTTTTTATCTATATATTGTTGAACCATACTTGAACCTGAAATATCCTCCTTATTTTTCTTTTAAAACAGCAAATTTAAATCCATGTCAATAGCAGGTAAAAGAGATGGATGAGGCAATGATCTAATAACTGTTTTACTGAAGTTTATTTGAGATAATTCAAGATATTTTATAGTACCATCTTAGGAATGTTGACAAAATAACTGTAAGAGTTGTTTGATTTTCCTGATTGTGTTTTTATTTTTATTTTTTCATTTAACCCGGTGTAGTATTTGGAACGAATGCTTACGTATTAATGAACTGTAAAACATATGAACCTGAAAGGGAGAAATTGAGAAGAGTAGTTGAAATGACAGGCCAAGAATGGAGTCTTAAAGGATTATTGGGAAATAAAGGAAATATAAAGGATATTTATAGATTAAGGAAAGCATTAATTAGTTATCTGCAGAATACAAAATAAAAAAATAGAATTTAATAGATGTAAAACAATGTTGCTACACACTCATGAACAGTAGGTGGCGGTATGCACCTTAAAGATGCTTGCGATCCGCCATGATAAAAAAGAAGAAGAAGAAGAAGGAACGAATGCTTTCATTGGATGAAAAGAAGCTGAGTGTGATTGGCTGATGGTATGGTTCATTTACATACATTGCTGAAGTTGCGAGCGCAGAGTCGAGCTTGCCATAGCCGAGCGCACAGCTGGTGTTGAGCGCGGAGAGAGAGCAGGTCGAGCGCGAGCAGAGACGGATTCGAGCACGCGCAGAGATGAAACTGAGCGCGAGAACAGTGTGTGTTGAGAGGGTTTTACAGAGTTGAGCGCGCGCCAGACCGGCTTTGCGCGTGCGCTTGTTGTCTCACTGCGCGCTCGGATTGGTTCCTGCGCGCTCAAACCGATGGCACAAATATCTCTCCATACTTCTCCGTCCGTCACCGACAAATTACGGAGCCGAGCTATTTTTTGCTCCGCTCCGGCCAGATCAAGATCCGCAATTGCAATCGCACCAAACAGGAAAAAGAACCTCGACAAATTCCGGTTCGTCAAATTAAACTATAGTAGCAACAGATCGGTGACTAGAAATTACAGCACAATTCTTATAAATATCTAAAAAAAAAAAAAAAACTAACACCGTTTATTTAAATGATTGGATCCAAACTATTGGTTATTCACCAACCAGGAAGCAGATTTCTCATCTCCATCAAAATATTTATTTTATACCGAGGGACTTAAACTTTAATCAAATCCATTCAAAAGAAACTTACAAGAATGAAAAGAGAGGAGTTTGGGAGTAGAGAACAGGTTAATTAAAAAAAAAGCTGTTTTGAATTATCCTTATCCCCGTTACAAAAATCTACAAATATATATTTGGGCAGAAAACTGAACATATGCTGGATGATGGTGGGATTTTTTTAATATGTCATATTAAATTAAGCGCTCACAGGGTTCATACAGGAATGAGTGACTCTAATTTAATGCTATTTTAATGCTATTTGAAATGATTTTAATGCCATCAACAAGAACCATGTACACAAGTTATTAGTGTACATGAAATATGAAGGAGCTGTAAGCAGAGTTCCATGACTCCTGTATGTATGTAAACACACACACACACACACACACACATATATATATATATATACGTATATATATATTCTCTAGCTTTTTCTCCGCCTCGAGCTTCGTTTCCGAACACACGGCTTTATGATCAGTTCCAATAGCGATATAATATATCGGAAACCCTGGTTCATCTCGCGCATGCCCTCTACGATCTCCCAGGAACTCAGAGCGGAGCGGACGGGACCACAGCGGTGGCTGTAGGCTTTGCTTTGTGCAGGCGGTCTGGAGCGCAGCGGGGCGGAGCGGAGCGCAGACGGAGTATGTGGGATTTCGGGGGAAGACTCTCTGCTGATGAAGACGATGCTCACTCTTTTTCCTAATCTTCTTCCCAAGCTTCCGATAAGACTGTTTATTTGCTAATCCAATTTAAGCTGGGCATTTTTTTGCCCTTTTCGGGCCAATTTTTCCAGTTGTGCGAAATTTTTTCCAGTTGAGCTGAGTTTCAGCCTCATCGTGCGTCTTGCATCGTGTAGTTCACAGGGGCGATTAGCCTCTCACGACCACCTCCCGATCAGGAATCGTAAGGTCGGGAGAAAATCAAACACGTTTGAAATTCAGTCAGCCTTCATGTTCATGGACAAATTCTGCTGTTGAATTAGAGCTACGAGGGTCTACGAGCCGATTTACCAGAACCTCGAGCACTGTGCATGTGAAGACAGCGGATTTCTTCTTCTTCTTCCAGAGTGATGAGTTGGACCAGCGCCATCTGTGGGCGAGGAGTCCGACGGGTGGTTTTTAGATGGTGTAAACGTTTAGAGGGTGTAAACCTTTAAACCCTGTAATTTCATCTTACAGTTTGAGCTGTAATTGCGTTTAACGATTGAAAATATTGTTAAACACATCTACTGGCCAGAGAAAACTTCTGGCCAGAGAAAAAAAATACGTCATATGTAGCCAATACTTCAAAGAAGAATATTTTCAAGATGACTTGGATAATAATAGACACCAAATACAGCATAGGTACTTGCTCAACAGCCGATACTGCACTCACAAACCGGTAGGTGGCAGTAGTGTTCACATTCAAGTAAAAATTACTCTCAATTATAAAAACCTATCATTTATTGAACAATATGTATTAATTAAAAAATTATTAAGTTTATATTTAAAGTACTTTCAGAAGTTTGAATTGTGAATATGACTGGTTGAACCGAGTCTGATGTTCCCATCCGAGCAGAGCTGATTGAAAACAATTTTAACTCAGGTCGCTTGCCGAGTCGTTTGAGTCTATGTGGGTCAGTCAGTGAGCTGGTTCCACTGCCGCTAAAAGGCGATTTCTTGATGGAAGTGGGAATAGGGTACTACTGTGACTTAATGTGTGTGCCCTTTTCCTGGTTCCTTGAACCAATAAAAAAAAAAAAAAAAAAAAAAAAAAAACTTTCCTGGACACCTGTTTCTAGAAAATCCAAACATTCACTATAACACTGTTCCTGGATGGGACATGAGGATTTGTTGCAGCTTTTATTTTTACATTGTGCTTTAGTCTTTGACATGTTGAGCTTAATGAAAAAAAATAATCTGAACACATGAGGCAGATTTTTAATATTGTCCTTTCACAAACCAAAACTTTTTAATCTGTCTTTTTCCATGCTTTCACCCTGGTTGAGATCCATTATGCCAGTTGTAATGCAACAACAATAGAGTTGAGTTTACTACCTTTTACTGCCTACTTCTTTATACCTTCAACCTTTTTAGAACCAATACAAAATGGTGGCTTCTCTTTGGGTCACAGACCTATACATTGGAGGACCAACTTGTCAGAACAGGACTAAGCCATTCACCTATACCTGAAGGTTAAAGGACACTTATTTGAGGAAAACAAACTCCATGTTCTGGCCAAGAAAGAAAGAAGGTTTGAGAGAGCGGTTAAGGAAGCTATCTTTGTTAACCTGTTGGTCTCTCAACAGAGGAGGTGGTCTTATACAGGCCCTTTCACCCACCTACAAAGCACTTTTAGGAACAACACCCAGAAGATTCCGAAAAAGAAGTTTAGCTTCCCACATCTTCAAACTTGGAAAACAAAATCCAGTGGTTTGTTTTTTAACTTCGTTTTTTGGAATGACAATGACCTGGATGACTGAGAATCTTAACCAGCATACCCAGAAGATTCACCTCTCACACACCCTCACCTGACTCTCACTACAACAAGGCATATGGCCAAAACCTCACTGAAAATGGAGTTACCGACCCATCAGAACTTCCCAACGACCATTAACACCCCCAGGTGACCTCCATGGCCAATCCAGTAGAAGGGATCAGAGCCACATTTTGTTCCCCCTAATTGTTGCATACAGTGTGAGCAATACATTCGCATAAGAGCATGGGGCCATTCAATGTAAGAACGTACATCATGGGCTGTGAAATTTTAAACCGTGTGGTTTTATAGTACAGTTTGAGTTGTAGCTGAGTGTGTTGGAAAGAACTTCAACTAAATCTCCTTCATTGTAATCACTATCCATTTTATCTGCTGATCTAATTATCTCTTTTTTGTACTTTTTTTAGTAATGCTATTCTTTGTTGTGTGTGTTTTTGTAGCATTGTTTTCCTTTTTTTTCATAATTTATGGAGATATTTAATAATGTAATAGTAACACAGTAAACATACCTAAAAGGGAAAATTTAAATAAGAAAATAAAAAAGAAAGACACGAGTACAATAATGTAAATATCAAAGGATCATTTTTTCTCAGTGTGTCCCAGTGTCCTAAATTCCCATGAAGCCCTAGCATTGCATGCCTGCATGCTGCTGCATGTCTAAGCAGCTCTGCAGTATGCCACTTGTTCCGCGTCGTATAATTTTTTCAATCAAGAGTCAAAGTTTATATAAGAACCCTTTTTTATCCCCTCTCCCTCGCTGCATCAAGGCTCGCAGCTCGCCCATGTCCTTACATAACTGCTTAGTCGGCAACACCTCTGTGCCTTCATGGGCATGCATTTTCATTACTGTTGGGGCTGCAAGCTTCTACTGGCTGCACTTCAAAAGTCCATCCGGAGCTGGCAGCTTAAGATGACGTGAATCATCGAGAGGCTTTCATTGTTGCTGCTGCAGAAGAAGAGCTTAGATGTGTGAAGGACTCCACAGATCGCCGGTCCTTTCAAGGAAACGCATAACTTGATAGAAATGCCACAAAGAATAACCTCATATGCAGACGTTCATTTTTCCGTTCGTTTGCTGACCTGAGGGTACCGGGTATAAAAAAACAAAAGCTAGATTTAAAGAGATGAACAAAGGATGCGCATCAAATGGCATTAGCATCTTCCTCCCTCCTATTTTAGGATTCATATGAGGTCACCTATGTCATGCAGGGAAATAAAACCCAGATTTCAAACAGGGAGAAAGGGGACAAATATCAACAGTCTGATAAACAAAAATTAAAAAGTTTCCGAGATACAGAACCACCGTTACCCACTTACATAATGTTTGTCATCATCTTCGTTGTAGGCGAGCTTGACCACTCCATAGGAACCCTGCAACACAACAAAAGCCCAGATCAGATCCAGACCAACATGAGGAGAACATGCATTAGTCACTTAGACTCTACATGTTATTGAAGCTCATGAATAAAACCGGTCAGAGACTGTAAACATCTCTAAAGCATCACTTCCCAGAACAGACGGTAGCGCCAGACTGCCAGCATGTTAGCAGGCAGCCTTGCTCCTGTTCAGAAACAACATTTTCATTCTTTGGCAGCACAGAATGAGCTTGTCCCACACACGCATCATTTCCCAGGATGTGTTCTCAGTCTTTTTCTGACATGTTTCCTTCCTACAGAGGTGCAAAGAAGTCACAAACCTGGAATCACAGCTGCCTAAATATTCCTCATTTAATGACAAGGAAAGCTATATTATCTTCTTTTTCTATTCAATTCAGACTTTTCTGAGTTCCAATATGTTTGTTTGCATTGGCAAGTTGTTATCAAAAGATTTTATGGGACATGCTGACAGCACATGTCAGAGATTTCCCTGTAAAAGAAAATGAATGATTCGAATTGTATGAAAAATGTGTAATTATTTTTAGGAGTGAATAAAAGCAGCGAGTGAGATGCTTATAAAAATCATTGTTACAAACAGCTAAATAACAGAGTAAGTGGAGGAGCTGATGGCTGAAAACAGAATTTAACAAATGGTTTATAGTAGGTTATTTTAGGTTATCCTTTGTGATTATGCTTTGTTAGTAAGATAGGGACATAAATCATAAAAGACGGTTGTTTTTAATTAAGGACATAGACCAAAAGAATACATAGTTTGACACTTTGGTGTATTAGGCTTCTTATTAGGCTGCTCAGTGGCTGCAGCAACTGTACTTACTGTAACTATAACTTACTATAAATAAGTTATTTGCCAAAAAACGGCTTCGGCAGTCCCTAAACAGTGGCAGTAATCGTAAGCCTAGTGACAGCTGCCAGTACTACGGCGGGTCAGCCCGACCGGCCACCGCAAGTGTCACCACGCTGCCACAAACTGAGCTCAGCGTTGCTGCACAAGCATGTTGATGTTTGTCAATGCCCTGGATTCATTTTTTTTTGTGTAATGCAGCTGTACCTAGTTTAACCAACAGTGGTCCCCCTCTTTTCTTATGACAATTTGTTCTCATTCTTTTCTTTTTCTTCTTCTTGGTGTAAACTGAAGATGTTACCGTTGTTGGTTGCAAGGCAAGATACTTGTAAGATAAAGTGTTCCTCCTCCTATTCGGAGCTGCAAGCCAGCAAAGTGGTTAGTAGAATAAATTCTAGAGTTTTATTTTAGTTGTAATCCACTGATTGTGTGGATGTAAATTCATTGTTTTGTAGTTCTATGGTGGTCTATGTTGCATCCTGTTGCTAGCTGTGCTAGTTGCTGAAGGGCATCAATGAGGAAACCATTTGAAGTGAATAAACTGGTGTCTTTGGATGCTTGAATGGGCGGCATAATGTTTTACTCCAAAGTTTCATCGTTTTCATGACCTTGAAAGAGTCCAGAGTCTTTTGTCTTCTATAACTGCTGCATAAAAACATGCTCACTTCTACTCTAATTCACAGGTCCTGGCGCTACTTTCTCTTCTGTGTGCCGACAAACCCACTTCAAGCTTGTTATCGCCACCTACAGGGCTCAAGTGAGAAAACAGGTGTCCTACTGTTAAAGGGGTCACAGAATGCAAAACCGAATTTACATTGTCATAGATGAATAATAATATTACAGTGGGTGAAATGGACATACAGAGAAGTTTAAACCCAATCAACATCTTCTTTCTATGCAAATCTCACAATTCTAAACTTCCATCATAAAACGGGAAATTCAAACGAAGCCTCGGGTTGAAGCCAACTCATTTGGTTCTGGCCTGTACTTTTGTCACATCCAGAAATTGACATACATTCACATACAGACTGTGAAGTAATTTTCACAGTCTTCCCAAGGATCTGAAGACTCAACAGGCATGGATTATTTACATCTATCAGCAGCTCCTTGCAAGGTTTGATGCTCAGCTGTTCACAGTTCAAAGAAGGATTTGATAAACTTCTTTTACTGAAACGAGGGGCTTTTCCAACCGTAAAAAATCCCGGACGATTTTGAAATTCCCCCGGACATTTTTTTAGGTATGAAAAGTAGAACATGTCTGGAAACAACACATCTGGTCACCTTACCATATCAACAATTTGATGTTTCAGTGAGTCAGTGCTTGTTGCTATGATGCGTCTTTGCTCAGCAGCTTTGCTCATTGTAAACCAACCAATCAGCGCACAGCTCATCTAAATATTCATGAGCATACCATTAAAAGGAAGAAAACCTGTCGTTTACCTGTAGGGCTTTTAACCAGGCTTGCATTAAGGTTCATAGAACAGCAAATATGCCATTTTCAGCCCAACAAATATTACACATCCTACTCAGAGACCTTAAGGACCAGCACCAAATACCATATAGAATCATTCTATGACCCCTTTAAATTTAATGTGACCAACACTAATGGCCTCTGCAAACAACACTGGTGGTAAATTATAGTAATGTTGATGAAGAAATAAACATTCATGTAATAAAAATTAATTGAGAAGTTCAGAATATTTCATAGAGACAAAACTATTTAGCTAACATGTACACCTTTATCCTCTTAAAGGAATAAGAATCAAGAGTCGATGGGAAATGCTATTGAAACAAGAAATCTGAATGGAAAGAGAAATCTTAATCAAAAGAGAAATCTGAATCAAAAGAGAAATCTGAATTGAAACAAGGATTCTGAATCAAAACGAGGAATATAAATTAAAATGAGGAATCTGAATTAAAAAAGAAATCTGAATCAAATGAGGAATCTGAATTGAAACGAGAAATGTGAATCGAAATGAGGATTCTAAAACGAAAAGAGGAATTTAAATCAAAATGAGGAATCTGAATCACCAGATTTGACCAGATTTCTATACATTCTGCTAAAGATGCCAATATCAACCTCTTACCATCCACCTCATTTTGGGTAATCCTCACCTATTTAGCATACCCAAATGGAAAAGCAAATAACTTAGGAACTGTAAGCCCAAATTACACATGCAATACATTATTTGTAAGCTAACACTCTCTAGTTTCCTAATATATAAATAAAATTGGGTGACTAGAACAGAGACCAACCTGCATCAGTTCAAACATGATTCAAAGTTGTTGTTTTTTTTTATTCTCGGAAATTATAGGTCTTTTTTGAACAGCAGTAATAAAGACATTCGAGAGAAAAGGCAGGAGGTTTTATTGTATTATATTTGTTCTACATCATGTCAACCACACATGCAGAAAATGTCAGACCTCTAGCTACAACAGTTCCAGAGCTGTGGGCTATGGAACGTTTGGAGTCAGCTTGGAGCTGCACGCAATGGCTCCACCTGCTGGTAAATATTCTACCAGTGGAATTTTATGAATTTTAAATTATTACCCCCACTTAAGGTAATTAAGAGGTTAAGGAGACTTTTCTGCAATTTACTGATAGTATAACAGAATGCAGCTTTTAGGCATGGACGTGTGTATTTCTCTTCTTTCTCCACCAGCAGCTTGGTGGGATCATTTTTACAGCCCTCACAGTTGCAAAGCTATGAAGCTCCTGAAAACATTTTTTTTTACTAAATAAGTAGTCAATGGTTATAATGAATAACTCAGCCTTATGTTAATCTGATGGTGGTGTGTTACGGTCACAGTCTTCCCACAAGACCAGCCTGACCTTCAATATACAGAGGATCAATACAGGCCACTTCTCTTAAAGCCAGTGATGGAGCTACTAGGTTACTTTGAGAAGCAAACCAAACAAGTTTTTCACCTCAAAAAAAACAAATTACAGCTTCCTCTGTGAACCCAAGTGGAACCGTCCAAGATCCTTCAGAGATCATCAACACATGTTAAGAATATCATCTAATCACAGGGTGTGAAGTGGTTGGTTAAAAGGGCCTTTGCCTTACATTTTCTCAGGTGTTTCTCATGATTTAACACCAATAAAAACTGAGTTAAACTCAACTTAATTAAAAACTCTATGGTTAATAAATGAGTACTGACCATGTTGTTGCTGCCCCCGACTCATGGAACCTGGCTCTATATGCATGTTAAAAGGTTTGTCATCAACAGTATCACATGGTTGGAGTACTTTACATGCATTTTAAAGCAGATTTAAAAGCTCATTATTTGTAAAGCTTTTTTTTTTCTTACTGTTTGACATTTCTGGAATAGAAAAGACAAAAAAGGAAGAAAAAACTCACCTTTCCAATTTCACTCTTCAGTTTATACTGGTTCAGCTGGATACAATCCTGGGAGGAAGAGGAGCACAAGACAAAGAGTTAATTACCAGCATCAGTCACCTTCATCCTCATCAGAGACATCTCAACCAAATTAGAAGCATGTTCTGAGGTGAAGCGAAGAAAATGTTGATCCTGGGCGAGTGACTTTTCAACGTGACCTGAAAGTCATTTCTTTCTCAAATGTAGGTAACGATGCCGGTTGTAGCTTGTTTACCATCTGCAAATCCATTAGAGTGCCACTGTTTGGATGGCTGATTTGCAGTTCCATAGCAACCAACTCCCCCAGCATGGAGTCAGCCAGGGCTGCAGCAAAGCAGAGCTGACCACAGCGGGACTCAAGAGGAGGAGGAGGAGAGACTCAAGGTGAGGATCTGTTGGCGGGAGGGCATTGCATGAAGAGGTTGGTGCAGAGCGTTCATGGACTGCTCGTTAATGAGAAGAGAGTGAGCGGGGATTTCTGACTGAAGAAGAAAGAGACTTTACTGTGGGGAGAAAGGATTAAAAGCTGCTCTCTGGTTAAAGCTGGTGGTGGTGAAGGCTTCTGAGGCACAGCAGCGCCTCAGGCCAGAGCCTGGAACGTGTTTATAGGATGGAGAGATAGAAGCAGGGCAGCTGGACTTCAAATGATTCAGAGGAGGAGACACCAATCAGAGGATTTCTAGAAAAAATTATGAGTCATTAGTGTTTGTGCTGAGAATGTAATAATTGAGGAAAACTGTTGCATTGATTAGTTGTGCTGGGATGGACGAGCTACAGAATGGGGGGAGTAAATGGGAATAATGGAAAGACAGGAGGTTTTATGGGAACCGTGGTTCTATAGACGCCGCGCTGCAGCTGATGCTCTGTTAGGGGTAATAGACAATGGCAGTAAGCCTTAAGTAAGTCTCACACTTTTAATGCTTTTTACACAAAAGTCAAACTCGAAAACTTAATGTGATGCAGGAATCCTAACAGGGATTTTTTGCTCTATATCTTTAACGGACGCATGATTCATCAGCCTTCAGTTTTTTTTTTCTTTACCAAATTACAGCTGAAAAAACCACTTCATCAGGATTCTTTGTTTTAAAGCAACAAGAAACAATGTGTAGAGGTGAAAAGAAAAGGAAACCTGTTGGCAAACTGTGGCTCATTGACCTAAATTCAGAGGGATTATTAAATCAAATGTCGAAAATAAAGACATAAAGTCGAACTTCCCCTTTAAGACATTCTGAATCAATACATTGCAGAACAACTTGCTGAAACATTATAGACTGTGTGGTTCTTAGGACAGCTCTCCATTTCCTAATGATGGATTGCATGGTGCTCTTCAAGGTGTCGAAAGCTTGAACTACTGTTTTAATAAAGCAACTCTGCTTTAAATGGCTGCAATACCACCTTCCTGACCTATATGCTCTTTTCCTCATTCCCCATGATGCCGTTTGTTCACTAATGTTCTCTGACAAACCTCTGAGGTCTTCAAGGAACAGCTGGATTTCTACTAACCGGCAGCTATTGTAAGGCTCTGCGTGATCAAAGGACGGCAGGCTTTCATTAATCTCAAATATAATCGATACCTTTCCTCATCACATCTTTGTGATGAATTTCTTTGTCTCCATCATCCGTTAAAAACAACAAAAACAATAACTATCTTACTACGTCATTGTTCCCTAAGTTAATCTTGGAGAGCGATTTTTTTTTATTGACGGCTCTGGTGATTTTTCTCTGCAGGTGCTGAAGACAGCTAAGCAATATTGATTCTATCAAGCATGCTTTATTCCTTGGTTTTTTCATGCACACAAATACAGAGAACCCCTCACTACCCTTGAATCTGCAAAAAAAAATTAAAATAAAGTGGATAAAGTTTTGTGGCATTCGGCATTTAAATTCATACACATAAAAACAAGTAGAGAATAAACCGAAGTATACAGACCATTATAATGAATTAACTGCATTGGTTTTCCACACATCTGGGAAAGCAGAATACAGTGAATTTATTGTGAATTCACAATCAATGTGGTGAAGTAAATATAAGGTTATAAATAAGTCAATTAATAATAAATCTAGAAGCCCTGAAGGATTTTTATTTATTGTACTTTTCTAGGACTGTGTAGAAATTAAGCCAAATGTTAATCGAATAGTAAGGAAAGATGAATCAGTTGAATATGAAATCACAAATATGACCAATTTATACTATGGACTGGTCTCTTCAGGGCTGCACCACATTGCTTTTTGCCCGACATGTTATCTTTAAATCCATTTAAAGCTTAGAAAGCCTTCATGTAAATATTATGGTAGGCATAGAAATAATTCAAAATTATGGTAAAGCAAATTAGACAATAAATATTTGCAGGAAATAGAGATTAATACGTTTCAAGTCATTTTAATGACCTACAGAGAGCAGTAATTAGGAAAGTCACATCATATATGGAGCTGGATGCTGCACTACTCTGGTATTGTATAAAGGGCATATAGGCGGTGGGCCTTGCTCATTGCCCCCCAGCTCAGTCATCACATGTTGGAGTTCACCACAGTGAAAGAGAGGGTTGCTCCGTACGCCTTAGGGACAGGTCTCTCACTGTCTTGGCTGACACGTGTCCGCGGCATCGCGTGGCATTCGGGGGACAGATCCCCTGGATTGGCAGACAAGGGTGGTGGTTCCTCTCTTTAAATGGGGATCGGAGGGTATGCTCCAATTACAGAAGAATCAGACTCCTCAGCCTCCCCGGTAAAGTCTACTCCATGGTGCTGGAGAGGACTCCAGCACCATGGAGTAGACTATCATGCTGATAGTCAAACCTCAGGTCCAGGAGCAACAATGCAGTTTTCTTCCTCCTCGTGGCACATTATATCAGCTCTATACCCTTCTTTGGGTGATCAAGGGTTCCTAGGAGTTCGCCCAACTAGTCCACATGTGGTTTGTGGATCTGGAGAAGGTGTTCAACTGTGTCCCTCATGGTGCCCCATGGGGGGTGCTCCAGGAGTATAGGGAGACATTCTGATAAGGGATGTCCATGCACTGTATGACAGCAGCAGAAGCTTGGTTCCCATTGCCGGCAGTAAATCAGACATGTTCCCATTCCATGTTGGTCTCTACAAGGGCTGTGTTTTGTTACTGATTCTGTTGATTACATTTATGGTCAAAATTTCTAGGCGTAGCCACGGATTGGAGGGTGTCTGGTTTGGGAACCTCAGGATATTATCTCTGCTGTTCGCAGATGATGTTGTCTTGTTGGCCTTATCAATCCGGGACCTTCAGAGTGTACTGGGCAGTTTGCAGCCCAGTGTGAAGAGGATGATCAGCAGGATCAGAGTTTCCTTTGCAGGGTCGCTGGGCGCACCATTCGGGGTTGGGTGAGGAGCTCAGTTACCCAGAAGGAGCTCGAAGTAGAGTCTTTGCTCTTCCCCGTCGAAAGCGGACAGCTGAGGTGGACGTCTATTCTGGATACCTCCTGGTCGCCTCCCTTAGGAGGTGTTCCAGGCATTTCCTATTGGGAGGAGGCATTGTGGAAGGCCCAGGACACACTGGAGGGACTATGTCTCTGAGCTGGCCTGGTGTCACCTTGGGGTCCCCCACAATTTTTCTTTTCAAGAAAATATAAAATGCTGTGAAGAGATACTGACGCAGTCAGTCAGAGCTGTTCAAGAGAAACCCACAGCATAGAGACTGAATAATCCATTTTCCCTTTTATTATTTAAAATATGAAGACCGTTCAGAATGACATGCTGTGGGTTTAAACTGTTAAAATAAAAATTTAATGGTAAGTTACTGCAAAAGATGGACTGTCAGAGCAGCTGAACCCTGTGCATTAGTTTGTGTTTTTGGTGCAGCACTGTATGCATAAACCCGTCTCGCCCGGAATGAGTTGAAATACATGGTGACTTTCTTAAAGACATTTAGTAAACAGTAGATTATTCATCTTCGTGGCTCTACGACTGTATTTCTGCTTTTGCTTTGAGAATGTCATGGAGGACCTAAGTGGCTCAAAGCTCTTATTCTGTTTCCTGTCTGTCCTTTTGCTCCCATAGCCGCAGCCACATTCAACACATTACAGTCTGTCTGTTCCTGCAGCATTGGAATAATCTCCCAATTCCTCTGGATTATCTTAATCCAAACTTTAATCCACTCCACATCAGAGTCATTGTGTTTGAATTTGAACTCTAGTTCCCTCTGCTGCAGAATATGATTTGTGCACCATGTTTACATCGCAAAGTAAAAAAAAAAGAACAGCAGCAAACGTCACAGGAAAGGAGTTGGTCTTTTCTTACATGCCACTATGCGGAATATCCAAAAGCATTAAATTTATTCTTCTGATTTTAGAGAAACAAGTAAATCCCTTTGAGCATCTCTCACAATAAATAAAAGCTCCAACCACATCACTAGTGTTAACATATATTCCTCCAAGGTTTAAGCAGAAAAAACCTGCAATTGTGCAAACAGGAAGTGTTTTCACCTCTCTTTGAAAAGTGTCATCTTCAAAAAAGCAGTGGGAGAATTAAAATGTATGCGAGATAAGGAAATGACAGGCCCATCTCCGATTTTATATATATATATATATATATATGTTTTATCACAGTGATGATGGCATGAATGCTGCATAGTTGTCCGTGATGCCGTCACCAGGTGTGGGTCTGCCCAGACAAACTAAAAGGCTATGTGGTGCCTGCCCTCTGCACATGCAAATGAGGGTAAGATAATTTGATATTTATATATATCTATGTGTTAAAATTAGATGCAAGCCATATATTTTCAGTATTTCAATTACTTATAGAAATGTTAGACCATAATACCATTAGTATCGTTTAATGTTTCAGTCTTTTTTTTTCAATAAATTTGCAAAGAATTTTAAATTTCTGTTCTTTTTTTTGTCAAGATGGGGTGCTGAGTGTACATGAATGAGAAATAAAATGAACCTTATTGATTAAACCAATGGCTGCAATAAAACAAAGAGTGAAAAATTTAAAGGGGTATGAATAATACATTCTGTACATGACCCTGTACCAAATTGTTTGATGCAGGAAATGTTTACTTGGTGGTTTATTGCTTGGTTAAGTGTTTGCAGCCACCAGACTAATTTAAATGATGGACCTATAATCCTTCAACTCGCTTGGTGTTGTGCAATGACCATCCTGTCATTGCACAGTCTGCACCCTGTCACGTCATTTGGTCTTTTTCTTTTATTTTTCTGTTTCGTCATACATGAAGGTTGATTTAAAGCAGGAACTTGCACAAAATTTTGGAGCTGCCTAATATTACAAATAAACAAACAGCTAAATAATTTCTCTGTAACAACCAAACCAAGTAAGTATCTGCCAACTCCTGTTCATTTTCATCTTTGTTATTACAGGGCTTACCGGGCAGATTATATATTATTTATTAATGCAATTATTATTCAGGCATCTGACCAAAAGAAGGAGTGAAATTAAAGGAGGAGCTTCTTCAGTTAAATACTGTGTTTAAACTCTCCTCTCCTTTGTGTTGCTGTTGTCGGCACCTAGTGACCTGTCTATTTGACTTTGACTTCTTGTTGGAAATCTAGAGGGTGTGTAGATGCAGGTCTTGTTACAAAAAAGGAAAAAAATCTCAGTTTTAAAAATCCCCCAGTTATCTGTGGCAGATGGTTAAACTTTAAACTTTTTCCTCTCCACTTTCACCACATGCATGGGTGGATGTCAGTTTGAAGGATTGCTCCCAAGTGAATAACAGCTGCCATGTCCTCGTCCAAGAGGAGTAAAATCTGCAGGACTTTGACTTTGTTCAATCTGTTGGGAAAGAAAAACTTGACGCCACTAGCTCATGGTCCTTCAGGGCTAATCACCAAGGATTATCTAAAGCTTGTTTTTGATAGAATTTTTCGTTCTTGTCATGCTGCATCCAGCTGGCACCAAGGACCAGCGATTGTTCTTTGGAGCAGGAAGGTGAGATCACATATAGGAACTCATCCAGCAGATCATTATGCTGCAAAGCAATGAGCTCCTGTAATGGATTCATCCATTTCATAAAATAAGTGTTAAAACTCTACTGTCAATTGTGATTAAAACACATTCAGAGCCGTTTAACAAAGAAATCAGTGAGCAGCTCTAAAGCAACTCCAGTGTGGCGGTTTGTCATTTCCATTCTAGTAAGAGGGAATGGTCCAGGTTGAGTACTGAATGGAAAGAGATCATGAAAGTGACTTGGAAGATTTTAGGCCTACATTACTCTAATTTTTTAAGCAGAGCTGCAAAAAAAGGTGTTTTCATGTTTTAAAAGAATAAAGTGAAACATTATGAACCCACCTGAGAGTCTGATATGGACACCCGTTTGGACTCCACTGTGGGTCTGCGAGCGCCACGAGGGGAAATGTGCGGGTAAGCACCCTCTGGGCCCGCTGACTGATAGGTGCCCCTCTCCTGAAGGGACAGCTTCCTCGCAGACAGGTGGGGTCGCTGCACCTGAACCTTCTTGCTTTGACTCCCATCCTGCTGGGCCTTGCCGTTCTTTATGCCATTGGCAGATGATCCTTCAGTGTCTGTTGTTTTCATGGCGGCCATGATGTCTGTGAGACTACCAGATTGCTTGGAGGACTCAGAGTCCAGCCTCTGGCCGGGGTCACTACTCATTGCTATGGCACCCGGTGAAGGGGGGAAGCAACCACCAGCATCAATGTGACCTGGGCAGGCCCGCGGCCCTCAGATGACCTGGAGGAAATAAAGGAAGGAGAGATAAGAAACCGGCAAACTCGGCTTCCAAGAACAAAACCAAACTTTTTCTTCAGAAGCATCCAAGCTGTTTTTAAAAGTAGAATTCATTAAAGCACGTTCCAGTTCATGCAACATGATCAGCCAATTGAGCTCCTTTAGTTTTGCCATCATCACCTCTGACTTCACCTACAATTTTGGAGAGGTGCAGCGTGTCTGCTGAAGGGGTGCGGGCATATCTGTGTTAACTGCGACACACACGCAGACGACCTGGTTTGTGAGTATAAACCAGTCTTAATCTGGACCCAACCTGATTTAAAAAATTTCTAAATTACCGAATGTTGTTCGACGACAGTCTCTAACTTCACTTGCACTGCTTCTCCTGTTAATACGGTAAAGTCCTCCAGAGCATCCAGCACCAGGCTGCACGTGATACAAATCAGCCAAATTTGTATCACGTAACACTTTAGATTTTAAAATGGACACGTTTTCTGTTTTTTTTTTTTTTAGATCCTTTTATTAAAAAATTGTGCATAACATGGATGCATAAAAACCTCATTTTATTTCAGTGTAAAATTCTGTGCAGTAGTTCTGAAGTAATAGATTATAATTGAAAATGTCTCCGGACCTTTACTGGTTGTTGATTTTCTTTATTTGGATCCTGCTGATTTTTAATTCGTTACCCCTGGTCTAACATATACAATGCAAATAAAATGCATTTTTTTCTGGAAAAGTTAAAGGGGTGTAAATACTTTTGCATGTCCTAAATTGTTTCATCAATGTTATTCCTTTAGAAAGGCTCTGCGGAGGTTGTTGCAGATTGACTGAGACAGACACTACTGAAGGTTAACAAGTAAAGCTGATCAGAGGTTGGAGTTTAATTAAGCCGTCTGTCGTCTCCAAGTGGATGTGTGTGGCCTGGTGGCTAATGTTTCCAACATGTGCTCATTAATTCAGATAAATGTCAGAAATAATAAAAGCAAGCCCTTTCATTGGAAAGCTAATTATACGTTATGTTTTTTGTCGTGACTGGGTGAATTCCTGCGAAATGTACAATGGCTGACCGACACGAAGAGCATAAACAGCAAAGTTATCAGATTTGGACTGATTTATAACAATTATATTCATCTCTATATAAAAAAATTGTCAGGGCTGTTTTATCTTTTCATTTATAGAATAAAAAAGTGAAGTCCTTCCAATGGCTCTCTGTAGCTCAGAGAATAGTCTTTAAAATCCTCCTATTGGTCTATAAATTACTGAATGTGATAAATCACCTCAATACGTAAAATATTTGTTATCAGTGTATCAACCTCCTAGACCCCTCAGGCCTTCTAGATTCAGTCTACTCTGTTCATCCAGAGAACAAGGAGAAGCAGCATTTAGTTCCTATGCTCCAATGGTCTGGAACAAACTCATGGAAGACTGGAAAAGAGCTGAAAGCCCGAGTTCTTTGTTTAGAGCTACCTTTGAATGTTGAAGTTACATTGCCAGCTGAGGTATCTTTAGTTTAAGATTCCGGTCTGATTGTTGGATTTGTTTTACTGATTTTTAAAAAGTACTTATTTGCTTTTATTTTTGTTCTATTTTATTATCTAATTCATGTAAAGAGTCAATGAGTCGATGCAATCAACTGGTTTTCCTTAGAAAACTTTGGATCAATTTGACTGTATGATCTGGTTAACTGTAAAGTGCCTTGAGATGACGTGTTGTGAATTGGCGCTACATAAATAAATGGAATTGAAATTGAAATGAAAGGACTGTCCATGTACTGCATTGTGTTATACAAATAATCTTGCCTTGCCTTGCAAGAGGAGAAAAAAATACTCAAGCTCTCTGCAACATCTGCTTCAGGTTCAGGGAGGCTATGGACAGTCTATGGAGATAACAGTTAAAGCGCTCTGTTTAAACTGCAGCTGGTGTCCTAACTCTAGGAATCCAGAAGTTTGATTTTATCCAAATTACAGTAGTCATTTCCATCGTGGTAGGCATGTAGATAAGAGGCTCTGAAGGGAAACAGGGGGGCTACATTCCAGGTGGCCTCTGAGATGTTTGGTAAGGGGACCATTTTCCGTTTGCTATTCCTGAAGTGTGTCAGACAGGTATATTCACACGTACCAGAACTGATATGTTCCTGGATCTCAGAGTTAGACGTTATACTTTAAGGGACTGCCTTTAAAATGGGAATGGAAGCCTGATCCTTTGTCTAGGTATGACATAAAGCACTTTAATGGAGAAAAAAATATTTGGCCTGAGCTATCTCTATAGTTATGCTGCTATAGGCTTAGACTTCTGGAGGACACAGGGACCCCTTTTTCATCATTCTGCTTCATTCTATCTCCATTTTCCCACTATGCAGAATCTGTTAGTTCAATCTCTAACGTTCTGCTCTCTCTACTTTTTCTCACAGTAGCTTTGCCTCGTCTGTTCCTCATTGGCTGTGACAACAACCTGGAGAGAAATATCAGCTGTGTTGCTGCAACAAACATCTTTGTTTATAGACGTTGGAGATCAGCCTATTTTTTAGTGTAGTCCTGTTTCTCTGACTGTGACTGGCTGGATGTTCTCTCTTCATCCTCTGACATGGGAGTCGGCTGGGCGCTTGTCTGCCTTGGTGTGTGTTTCTAGAACAGGGCCGCCTGTGGAGCTTGTTTACAGTTGCCTTTTGTATCTTTGCTTTTTTCTCCATGTCTGCTTCTGTCTCCTTGAACCCTAGTTGGCCTCGGCTGCTCACACTGAGTCTATGTCAAGTCAAAAAGTCAATGCAATCAACTGGTTTTCCTTATATAGAAAACTTTGAATCAATTCGATTGTATGATCTGGTGAACTGTAAAGTGCCTTGAGATGACGTGTTTTAAATTGGTGTGATATAAATAAAGAGAACTGAATTAAAAAATGAAAAGACTATTTCTTGTCTTCTTGGAGACTTTGGTAAAAACATTAATGCACAGATCACACCAAGTTTATCGTCCTCAGTGAGTGAGCCCCCCTCCTCCAAAATAATGAGGGAGTCAAACGCAGTAAATGCAGCCCGTTTCTGTAATCAAAGAGAACAGCAACTCTGTTTACCCGATGAAAATGAATCACATTCACAAAGCTCCCACTGCCCCCCCAATATATTAAAACGTGAGATGTAAAAACTAAATTTCATGTATTCACCGCATCTGTTAACTGTCATCAAGGTAAATTTGATATAAAAGAATACTGATCAACAACAATCAAAATACAATTTTAGGACCATATGTTCCCTTAAAGGAGGTGATGATATTCACAATGTCCTAAGAAGAGAGCTTCAGCTCTAAAGCTTATCATGAACCATCAGCTGCAACAATGAGAGGCACAGCATGGCAGTAAGTTGACCGAAATAATGGCATCACTGATATAACCTGACCAATATGGAAGACCAGGTTGCGTCTCATGCTATCGGCTGATTCCACTTCCATGTCACTTGTCGATGTTCCGTTGGGCAAAGGACTAAACCCCAAGTTTCCTACCGATCTGCATGTCAGGATGAATGTGTTTGTGATTAAATTAATGTAAGCATTTTGAGTGGTCAGTTTCAGCTTCAGCTCTTTTGCCATTAAAGTCGTAGGGAAACAGCTGTTCCAACCGTTGCATTTCCGAATTCTCCCGAGTGGTGCCCGACTTTACACGAGTAAATAAAGTGAATGTGATTGGTCGATTATCAAGGGGGCGGAATTGTTGTGGCGGAAGGTTCGCAAGCAAGTTTGATTGTGGCCGGTTTCTAGGAAGCGTCTAGCTAACCAGTTAGCAACTTAGTGCTAGTAGGTTCCCAATGGGAAATTCCATTGGGACCAAGCAGCACTAAATTAGTGACTTAGAAACGACACTGTCAAGGAACGCTATGGACAGTGGAAAGAGGAGGAGAGTTCGTGGATAAGTCTCCTCATACATTTTTTATTTAGAGGAGGAAAGTTGGGACAAAGATGTTGCGGAAGAGGATGCCAGGGCGGCAGAAGCTTGGTTTGGTGTAGAAGGCTTCCAGTCGTACATGTTTGAGCCCTTGCCTCGCAACGCTGCCAGTTCTGTTAGCTCTACGCCTGCTGAAGACACAGACATCCATCCCCGTGAACACTGGGACGGAACTCAGTGGGAAAGTGAATGATCATTATTTCTTATTTCAGATGTTGCGCATATTAGCTTCAACATATGAAGATGCTATGACTGAAAAAAAATTTATTGACAGATGACCGTTGATATATGATTGGCCAAATTTAGGTGTTCAAGCTGACGTAGAACTAACTGGCCTGTGTAAAATAACAAAACAAAAAAAAGATTTTAAGACAGGATTTTTTTTTAAATAGAAATTTTCTAACTTTTGGGACAATATTGTCTGATAAAGAGTATATTAATATACATGTTTAAGCCAGAATGATTTGAAATTTAAATATGACTTCCCTAAGACCTTAAAGCTACAGTGTGTAATAATTACTGGGATATACAGTCAGAAATGTAATATATTATACATAACTATGTTATTTATCATCATCTACGAGCTCAGCCTCTTAACCTTAATATTTGCGTTGCCTTAGAATTCGTTATTTATAATTACATAGGAGCGGGTCTCGCAGCCATGGAGGCAGACATCTTTGCACTACGGCAGCGCAGAGCCAACAAACTAGCGATTGCGAGATCGCCCATTATGCTCGAAAGTAACTACGGCAAGTTGAGAGAGATGAACTGAGACGGTACTGAACAATAGATGGCAGTATTATGCCTGAGAATACTATCTGTAAAATTATCTATGTAAACAAACCTCATCACTTGAGAAGGTAGGTGATGCAGACGTCGTGGAAGACATTTTGTCCCGTAACGCTCGCCGTACTGTTGGGGGGGAGAAGCGGTGGGGGGGAGATGTTCATGTTGCTGCTGTCTGCAGTCTGGACGTTAGATGTCGCTAAAAATTACATACTGTAGCTTTAAGCATTTTAAGAGAAGTGTGGATTGCTCTGTGGTGCAAGCACATTTTATGAAATCTAAAT